ATTGCCAAGTGGTAATCCTCTATTGATAGTTCAATAGTAAGAATATGTCCATCTTTATTTGTTTTTTCATTCTCTATTTTGCATTCGAAATTTTTGGAGAAAAGTATGGCTACAACCCTTGAATTACTGGTGAAAGAACTAAAAAACACTGTTTATTTCCCCATTCTTCTTTTATCTTTTGCTCCATTTCCTGTGTAAAATGTACATTCTGAAGACAATATATATCGGCTCGTTTCTTCTTTAAATATGTAAACATTTCCTTTTCCTTTTGTTTCTTATGATTGTTTAACCCTCTACAATGACAAAATTTTCAATGGGTCGATTTCAATCATTTGGTGTGTTTTCAAAGGATTTCAACTGGGGAATAATTAATTGTTAACAGTAAGATACGCAGCAGCTCGAGACATAATGCATTGTTTGTAGTCAACGGTATTTTCTTAATATTTAACAGACAATTTGGTTCTATGTTTTTATGGCAACAAATAAAACTAAAGGTTAAAAAGTAAAACTTCGGAAAAGACATGCAATTCCTATTGCTGCCCTCCCTTCCCATGGATATTTACTTGTTGAACTTGACGTTATTCTCACATCTGATTTTCAAGCCATTTTCAACAGTAACTGACAACGTATTATCCTGAACATATAAGGGATATTATTTCATACCGTAATATCCAAACTTATCATTTTGACAAAATGTCTCAGCCGAACTAAGACTAAAGGAATAATATCATACAGGAAGTATAGTTCTGACAAATAAAATATGCAAGTTAATTTACCGTGGCCACATGTTATGTTGCGAGAAGAGCGTCATAAGTTTGTTCTCCAAGTAGATGCAAAATTTATGTACATTTTGTAACATGAAACAAGAACTTAAATTGGGTACTCACATATGCTCTTGTCCATACGAATGAGTTATATCCATATTATTGAATTCCCATCACACACTGTGACAAGGCTAGGCGTCCATGCTTCCAGAACAATGTGTACGGAGGCGGGAAACTTACCGCGCACAATCTGCACTTGCAAACATTGGAAAGATCATAATACTTGGGTGATAACTGGTTAAACGTTCTTATTACATTATGTTTCTAGCAATAAATTTGCCAGTGATCTATTAACCAATCTTGTTGGATAATTTTCAAGTTTTTCATAAGTAGCAGTGTATTTAGTTTATGTTCCGCTTGGAGCTATGAAATAGACAGTTCATGTTTTAGTTTATCTGCAAATAATATTTATTTGCTGGATGTTATTGTTATACTCTTCCATTCGCACGTTACTTCTAACTCGCTCTGAAGATCGGTGAGGATTGTTTATTAAGTGTATTTACTCCATGCTGAGGACGGAATGTTTGGATCCCTTATTTCCAGCACTACTTCAGTTCCATTAACTTTCACTCGGGTCCAGAGATTCTCACTTTTTCTGATTTGTGCTGCTTGACGGCTGAGAATAGCTCTACATTTCTTCAACATTGCAGGTAAATCTGTTCCCTGATCCACGCAGTAGCTTACGTGCATTAAGGACATCTTCTCTGTCCGGCATATATAGGAATGTTGCGATGATGCTCCTGTGGGCATCGGGGCAGTGTTTGCGTTGGTACTCGGAAATCGGTAGTCGGTGAACCACTTTGAACCTGATCTCCCTTACTCTCGACTCATCAAACTTCAGTTTGGTTATGAGAAACTCTCGAAGCACTCGCTCCGTATCTTCTTTTGGGGTCTCCGGAATCCCGTAACAAGAGATTAGGTTTACGATCATGCATATCTTTGAGAATGAACTGTTTTTCAAGTCGTTCATACCCACTATTAGTTTCAGCTAGTTCTTGACGGAGTTGTAATATTTCATCTCTATGCACGTGGACATCATGCTCAACAGAACTAACTTTCAGTTTTATATCCGCAATCTCCATTCTCACCTCTTCAATAGAATCCTGTAGAGCAGTTTTTGTTGATGTTATGAGTTCAGCCACCCCCACCACCTCTGACGCTTGAATGACTTCTTCCAATGATGTTTGTGAACGTGTGTCGGGTATGTTGATAAAGTCACCAATATCGATTCTATTATCAAAACGTGGATGTGGATAGCAATGTTCAAACATACTAGTTGCAATGTATGTAGGCTTTAGTTAAATCCCAGGGGTATATTTTTGGTGATTACTTGGATACAAATCCATGGGTTGGAGACAGCGAGGTGAAACACGTCTATCTCCTAGCCATGAACAACCAGAAGCATCTGTACGTCTGTCCAAGGATTCTTAAAGGCGTTGTTAACCTTAAGCCCTTTAAGAAGGTCACATTGAAGTTCTCCAGTACTTGAGATATCGGCTTCATAGGTGATATCATATTGGAGTCGAAGTCATCAGCATATATGCAGTACGTCTCTGTTGGGCTGGAGTGAGTGAATGAGTGAGTGAACGACAATAACAGCAAGCCATCTGCTACCCAGGATAAGACCTCCACATCCCTGTAGATGAAGGGATTCCCCTCATCAAGTAGGGTGTCGTCCGAAACTGAACCTACTACAGGTGTAAGGTTCGTGCAGGTTGTAAAGTTATGCAGGTTGTAAAGTTACGCAGGTTGTAAGCTGTAGAGATCGCAAATGTTACTGATATTTTTTGATGAGTTATAAGCGATGACAAAACCATCAGTTTTCATTTTGAATGCGGATTCTTGAATGTTTTAATCATTGCTTCGTTTTATTCAGCCGAATGTCAATAGAGTCGACGTCATCATCCTGCCTGTTGATCTAAGGGTTCGCGAACCTTCTAGATACCTGTGTTGCTAAGATCGCCTGTTGATCTGAGGGTTCGCGAACCCTGCGTTGCCTCTTCCCTTCGCAAACGTTCCCCCAAATGTCTGCGTGGGCTGCGGGATCTAGATGAGGATCGATTGGATCTCGGAGAGGACTTTCTTGACGTTCTCGAACGTTGAGGGTTCGCAGACGCATCTGGAAGGTTCGTGGAACCTTCATCTGCCATGATGACAGAGTCTTCTGAGTGTGAAGATCTTCGCGAACATGGCTGAAGCTCTTCTAGCCGATCTGAGAGGTACTTCAGGTAGCAAAAAACATCTGCTTCGGCAGGCAATGTCTTCATTAATCGATCTCTGATGAGATGTATATGCGTATTTGACACACAAATTATCTCAAATACTACCAGATCGCAGTCTCTACCCTGACATATACATGACTCCAGTGCTCGCCCAACCATCCGCTTGGGCTGACTGACTGACTGAGTTTGGATTTACGCCGCTTTTAGCAATATTCCAGCAACATCACGGCTGGGGACACCAGAAATGGGCTTCACACATTGTACCCATGTGGGGATTCGAACCCGGGTCTTCGGTGACGAAGCCAACGCTTTAACCACTAGGCTACCCCACCGCCCCATATCCGCTTGGGTGATGAAGGAGAGAGTGACAAGCATGGCACATCACATGACTGTTTGCGCGGGTAAAAGGGAGGCAACTCATGGGTGAGAGAACTTTTACGTCTGCTGTAGGGAACTACAAGGGATTCAAGTGTTCCACTAACATTCGCATAGAAGGAGATAAGCAAAAGATCATGAGTCAGGATAAGGAAAAATAATTGATCATAATCTGACAAGCCAAAAACTGTGAGCAAGGCTCACTCATAATCCCAACCCAACTTTAGCTGAACAACAATAAAAAACATGATCAGTATCAAATTTTTGCACTGGATATTTCTTATAAACAAAGAAGCCAGTACCCAAATCTGAAAACAATGCATTAAATGGTTGAAAGTTATTTGTTGAACAAATTTGAAGTGGAATTTTTAGAGTTCAAGAGATGTAACTTGTGATTAAAACTTTGCATAGTTTTCAAGTTATTGGTTGAACAAACTTTCCTAAGTTCATTTTCTTAAATTGATTCTTTAAAATTGAAACATCATAATCAACATTTGCATTGCACCTCTCCTTTAGACAAAGAAGGCGGTCCCCAAATCTGAATAAAATTCAAATAAGTTTTCCAGTTACTGGATGAACAAAACGGTGTTCAGACAGACGATTCTTTGTATGAAAATGATCCACCTTCTTGAATACAACAGAAACTATACATAAATTTATAACAGGCGTCTTGAATACCAGGCGTCAAACTTAAATGAGACCAGAACTTTCTCAAATCCAACCACTTTGAATGTTAAAGCACCTTAAAAGTTTTGATCAAAGCATCATATCTAAATTACATTTGGACCTATCAACCAATTTTTCAGAAATACTCGAATTGTTGACCAAACAACATTCACACATGCAAAGTAAATAAGATTCTACTTCTATCTTCTACACCTGAAACATTACTTCATTATCAGAAAAGTTAATGCTATCATGATAATTATTATCATAGTTATGGTGGAGAAGATTTCAGAAAAGGCAGTAATGCCAGAACAATGTGAAGGTCAACAGTTGTAGTCTAGCCAAAAATCAAAACATATCAAAACAAACACTATACCTCACTTTTTCTGCATATCCAATTTAACGAAACTTACAAGAGGCAAAGGAAAAAATGACTTCAGAAAAGCTATTACTGTGGAGCCACGTTCACGTTTCCAGGGAATGAGAAGACAAAGTAAGGTAAAAATATCATAAATTGGACACATGTACTGAGCTTGCTTCAAAATACTCAGTTCATTTTGTAAGAAAATGGCAGAATAATAGCCATTGGGTTGTTTTTCAATATGGCTGCCCTGGCAACCATACTGAACGTTCTATTGGTGCCACTTGGAACAAATTCAGATGTCATCGTTGGCGTTAAGAATCCAATTGATGGTCCAGTGGTTTCTGAGGTGTTTACAGACAATGCCCACACCATAAAAGCAACCCATGACATATGATCACTTGTATATGTATTATTGCTGTTGCTTTGTAGCAATACCACTTGACAAGGCAGAAAAAGGAACACATCTAATTAATCCGCATTATTTTGGGTTATGTGCATTGTTGCTGCAGGCTGTCAATCCATAAACTTAACTGATGACCAAATACACACCTCTTTCCCGGATTGAGCTAGAGTAGGTGACATGGGTTTCACAGACGCTAGGGGAGACTGGTCTTTATATCCTCCGTTGACACGGGCACCCTCACGTGGGTTCTTTCTCACAATTGTCCCCTGGAAATACCGTAGCAAGGCGATTAAGAGACCAGATAAGCCAAACCATGACCCAACCACCACCATGAAAGCTTTATCAAACTAATGCAACACTGACAGCTCCCTATATTGCATTTTCGGTTCAACTTAACAACTTTGACCAAACCTTCATCAGAAACAGGTTGCATTTTAACGATGGTTATCCTTGTAGCTGGGAATTTCATTACACGAAATGTTCAACTCGTACAGACCTTTGGAATTAAGGACTTGTAGATGTTGGCCCCTCCTTGACTTCTGCCATCTCGGAACATGTAATCTCCATCGTCTCCCTTTCCCGATTTGTTTATTGGACGGTTGTCTGAAAAATTATTACAATCAAAGAATGAGTAAATGAGTTGGGTTTATTTTTGCTTCTACCACTATTTCATGAAGGAGGAAAGCCCAAGGTGATACAGGTCCCAAAATATTTACAGTTTTGGGGAAACCAATAAGTTTGGCTATGGGGATTGTGCTGTCTTACCTAGAAACACAGTGAGGGCCAAATGGATTTCAAACCCACAATCTATTGCTGCAACAATTTGGTTTGATTCATCGAAAACCGAATTTGGCACCTTAGTTCGATAACCATTATCACTATTTCGATTCGATATTTGAAGACAGTAAGTCTCGTTAATCCGACTCCCGTTTATCCGACAATCGGCTTTATCCAACACTTTTGTTGGTAACAAATTGAATAAACGTAATTTAGTCGCGTTAATCCGACAGTCCCGCGTTCCGAATCTGACAGCCCAATTACAACCGACCGTCGTAATTACTTAGTAATTAATCCCGTTAATCTGACATTGAGATTAGCAAGGGGTGCGATAATTACCCGTGAATACACTGCCAAGTGTCACTGAAGATGTTATTATACGCGAGGAGCAATGAGGATTATGAACACAAATTTTTGACCATGAACGTGATCTGTAATCAGAATTCGATAATCCGACTTCCTCGTTAATCCGACATTTTGCTGTGCAACGGACAATCGGATTAACAAGACTTGACTGTACCTATTTAAATTATTTCCACACAGCGAGAACATAATTTTGACTCCAACTCAAGCAATTTCGAGCCCTGAAATAAGGCAAAACGTAATTGGTTGATGCTGCCCAAATTATCAAATGAGAATTGTTGTTAATAGACATCGCCAAGTTGATGATGGATTTCATGCTAAAAAAGTCGACTCTGAGAGTTAAATGAAATCTGATGTTTTTACTTGTTTGAAGAATTGAATAGAAATTGAGCGAATAAAGGGTCCAATATCGAAAATCGAATCGAAATCAAGGTCTGGGTGAATCGTTGCAGCCCTACCACAAACCAAGGTCTTGAGTGCCCAAATGACACCCTTTGTTAAAGCTGACACATAATTATAAATTTGCATAATGACCTTTACTTGAACTAATTTTACTTCTTTAAAGTGCATGTTTAGAATTTATTCAGGATCTCTTGCGACAACAATAGCACAACAGCACTACAATGATTAAATAAAAGAGGGTTTTTTTTGGTATTATTCTTACCCCACACTCCTCCACCACTGGGCGACTTAGTGGTTTTAGGTTCCGTTGTATCTTCACTGCCATTTAAAGATGGCTGAAATGAAAAGACCTTCAATGATAAAATATACCAAAATATATTTCAGGGTATTGTTTTAGGTACAGCCCTATTAAAGATCATTCTAAATTCAATGCAAGTATTGACTATTTCAGATCTTTGTATGTTAAACTTCAGGAATTTGAGCCAAGCCATCAAAGCACCATGTCAGGGTCTTGCACAACACAGAAATAAGCATCAAATACTCGCAAATGTATGAAATGGACAGAGAAAATATTGACTGCGCCCCGACAGTCACACTATAATATTCATTGTACCAAATTCTCAACAAGAAATATAACGGTCCTGTAATTAAACTAATCACCACAGTACAGTACGCAACATCATTTCATTACTTGACTCTTATATTTTCTGTAAGGTCCAATGAAATTAAGTGATCAGGGTTCTGTGGGCCCCTAGTTTTGAAGGCCAACTTAACTCCCTGCTACATACATTGAACTCACTATAAGCAGTCCCTGCCTAGAAGGCTTGTATACCTTGTTCAATGTCAACTTTTCTACATATTCACGGACATCTAAAATGCGTAAGACCTGATCGATAGTTGTCTGTTACAACAACCACAGTTTGATTGGGGATCTAATCCCCCCTAGTATACATTGGATATGACAATGATCCTATTCAACAAAGCCATTTTTGACACCCTCAACTGCCACACATCGACTTGACACAGTTGCATTGCTAAGATTGCCTTGTAGAAGAAGGCTAAGATTAAGATTAATAACAAAGAACCTACAAAGTCATCTGAGAATGGCGGCTCTTTCTCGCCTTCCTTCTCCTTCTTGTCTACTCCTTCCTTCTCCTTGCTCTCCTTTGAGTTGCTGCGAGACTCCTTGTTATAGTAGCTGCGCTTGTTGGGGTGTGGCGGGTAGCCCGGATAATAGGGGGGCTCGCCAGGGTAATAATCATAGGGATAGAGATCATAGTAGCCCGGAGGGTAGCCTCCATTCAGCTGCTGAAAGAAAACAGGGTCAGGCTACGCGCTTAAATACAACTGGCAGTAAAGTGAACATGTTCTTGCTGCAAGACATTTCTGCAAATATATTTCAGATTTTCACTCATGGAAAATTGTAGAAGCTTAATAGATTTTCATACACAATCCCTTTAAGGAAATTTACTTTTCACAAGGAAAAGGAAAATACTTATAAAAACTATTCATCACAATTATTTGATCTTGTATAGGACAAATATGTCCTATGAAACCAAAAGAATTCACACACATTACTCAGTATTTGAAATTAAGAGGTAAGTCAATGAGGTACTTAACTTACACTGAAAATCTAAGAAGTACATCTCAAGGACACTTCGATCATATTTAACTATCCTCGTAACTGCTTCATACATCCTTCTAAATGACACGAAATGGGCTTAATACATTGATCTCATGTGAAGAATCTAATCAAGGCCTTCAGACTGCAGAGAGAATGCCTTAACACTAAGGCATCCAATCAACCCTATTCACTACAAACACTGTTCACTGACATCAGACTTTGCAATATTCCTGCAATATGGCAATACCTTTCAAATAATGAAGTCTGGTGAAGACAATCCAGTGAATGATCAAATGAGCATGCCATGAACCAAGTCACCAAGCCTACTACTGGATCCATAAAGTCCATCACCTCTAACTACGTGCATGGGTTAGCTGGAGAAAATTTCCAAACTGGAATCTCTACAATTTCGAGTAAAAAATACAATCTGTATCAATTACTGCTACATACCTGCCCAAATCGGGTGTTGGGATGTTGGTATTTCCCATCACGAGGAGGCCTAAACAGTGATGGTTGAGAGCTGTACTGCATTCCAAATTTATCATATCCTGAGTAGCCATTGTAGTATCCATAGTGACCATAAGGATATGGGTAGAACTCGTCATCTACTGAGTGGTGTCTATACTTGCCCTGTCCTGGAGGGTACCGCTTCCCTGAAAACAACATAGCAGCAAACAATGCTTAAAGAAAGGAAATAACTTTGGTATCAGTCAATGACTTATAAAATACATCCGAGGACTGAAGTACTGTCGGTTGCCATATTTATTCAGAGAGAGCCAAAAATCTCAAAGAGTGAAATATCCATTCTTCAAGTCATGAGGTTGAGACTACAGAATAATTCCTTTACTTTTCTTATAACATGGTGCAATACACATTCATTGAAATTACAATTCTTGTTAAATAAAGTGTCATGCAACAACAATATCTAGCACACTGAACATTCTGACATCTATCTTGGGAAATTGTCACTACGATTAGATGGGTTTGATGAATGAGATGGGTTTATGAACGGGTCTAGTTACATGACAGTATGCCTGCTTATGTGGGAGCAAAGCTCAAAGTAATGCATATCTCAAGAATGTTCTTATTTTCTTACATTCAGTGGTATTCAACACTGACTATGAAATTTTACAAACATTTTTAAAGACATTTGTGTGCCAGATTTTGGCCTTAAATCATGTCTAGATTAATTTCTGCAAACTGCACACCAACATTAAGCTGATCATAGATACCATCTCCTGCTTCCAGACAGTGAAACACACAAATGTCAACTGGGTATGTTGACTGAGTTACTGTATTAATTAATGAGACCAAGCACAATTCGGACCTGTCTTTGACATATTACTATCATATACTGTAATCGTATATATTTTCGCGGGGTGCAATTTTCGCGGAAAGTTCACAAAAGGCCTGTTCGCGCAGTTGTTTTTTCGCGCATTTCAAACACCTGAGTGATGGCATCCATCACAAAGTTTTCACAACCGATAGTCATGAAATGATCAAAGCTAGCTGCCATAATTGAATCGTGTTTACTAAAACAATCAGAAAGAGGCGGGATTATACTCGGGTCAACATTGTGATTTGTGGCTGACAAGCGTGAACGAACATGCAAAAGAAGACCAAAGACGTCAAACTTGCAATTAAACATCGCTAGAAAAGATTATTTACCTATTCAGTTCTAGTTTGTTTTTGCCTTATATGCAGGTATTAAGATTACTGTGTGTAATTGTCTCGTATACAGCGCCGGAAATAGCAGTCAGCTGTGCAGTGCACACGTCCCCTACCGGTGATTTAGTTCAAACGTACCCGATAATATTCCGAGATGCAGTGATCTTAAAAAGATAGTATCCCAAACTATTGTTTTTTAAAGAGAAATATATTCTAGTTTTGTGTCATTTTCATTGCAGGCTGTGCTCTATAAATGTAACATATTTATAATCATAACTAAGGTTATGGCTTTTGGTGTATTGCCAGATAGTTTTATGCATGGAACAATTTAACCTGTCACCAATGAGGTTTCTCGCGGCGATCTCCTTATTTCCACTACTAAAAGTCGCTTTGTTGTCAACATGTGATCGCCCAGCTACACTAATTATGACTTTTGGCTTAAACAAAATATGTATACGTATCCATTTACTGTCAACTACACTTCATTTCGAGACGTGAGTAGACGCAGTATGTAAGTGATTGCTGTGAAATAAGTACATTATGTTGAGGAATTACCGGTAGGCGAACATCTGTGGACTTCTTGACATTGTTTGATCTCGTAATTTGTAAACATGGACCGGGAATAATTGCCTTGATGTTGTTATCTGAGAGAATAAACAAATTGCATGTTGTTCCTACTTGAGTATTTGTCATGACTTCACCATGAATATTTCGCTTGGTATGATTATTGGCGCACAATCTTTTTGCTCTAAAAGCTCGAAAATTAATCCCACGCGAAAATAACTACGATTACAGTATGTGAAAACTCCCCCATTAACAGAGAGGAATACAAACACCTTCTTAGTTTCAAAAGTCAATTCATATAGTCATATTTTCTTTCATAATATATCACTCTAAGAAAAGGTCTACAAGGGGTGTTCAATACTAGCAGGGTCTCATTGTCATAATGAAACAAGAAACATTACTTTCCAAAGCTCAATCATGCACTAAATCTTTTGGATAACATTAACAAAATAAAACATAACTTTAAAAAACTTACTAACCACACTCACCACTTTCAAAGTAGTTGTCAAATGAATGTTGTCTATGTAATCTAGCATAATCTGGGCCATAGCGGTTGAAACTATTGTGGTAATTCTCTTCTCTATGTGGGCGGTTAGCTTTATCAGACATGTGCTCAGAGTGTTTGGACCCAGATGACTTCTGGAAAATAAAATGATGCAACATGATGAAGCATGTCATCACAACAGTAGAGTTATCATCAGACACATGCAGGGTCCACATTCTAGGTGGATGGTACCGACTGCATTGTAAATCAACATAAGCCTACCAGTCTACATTCTCTGTACCTCTGCATTTTGCTAAACCTACATAAACCCCCAGTCTACATTCTCTGTACCTCTGCATTTTGCTAAACCTACATAAACCCCTGGATCCATATTATCCTGGTTACCAAGATGTCAAATTACCAGCCCTTGATTTTCATATTTTACCAACCAATCAGCTGAGACACAATGCAAGATACAAGCAAGGGTTTGGGGTGAAAAAAGCTAAAAGAATGGGTTAGTAACGCTGTTCAGACTAGGGTTGGTTATGCTGAAAGCTACAGGCTACTGGGTTAAATGTGATGAGTGAGGTGATGAGTGAGTGAGTGAGTGAGTGAGCATAGTTTACACCGCACTCAGCAATATTCCAGTTATATGGCGACAGGCTGTAAATAATCGAGTCTGGACCAGACAATCCAGTATTCCAACAGCATGAGCATCGATCTACACAACTGGGATACGATGACATGTGTCAACCAAGTCAGCGAGCCTGACAACCCGATCTGGATAGTCGCCTTTTACTGTTGGTGATGAAATCACAGGCACGGGGTTGAAGGTGAAAGCTACAGGCAATGGTTGAACTTGAAAGCTACAGGCAATGGTTGAAGGTGAAAGCTACAGGCAATGGCTGAAGGTGAAAGCTACAGGCAATGGTTGAAGGTGAAAGCTACAGGGAATGATTGAAGGTGAAAGCTACAGGCAATGGTTGAAGGTGAAAGCTACAGGGACTGATTGAAGGTGAAAGCTACAGGCAATGGTTGAAGGTAAAAACTACAGGCATTGGATTATGGTAAAAGCTACAGGCATTGGATTTAGGTGAAAGCTACAGGCATGGGTTGGTGGTGATGAAAGCTACAGGCAAGGTTGGTGGTGATGAAAGCTACAGGCATAGGTTGGTGGTGATTAAAGCTACAGGCATAGGTTGGTGGTGATTAAAGCTACAGGCATAGGTTGGTGGCGATGAAAGCTACAGGCATAGGTTGGTGGCGATGAAAGCTACAGGCATAGGTTGGTGGCGATGAAAGCTACAGGCATAGGTTGGTGGCGATGAAAGCTACAGGCATAGGTTGGTGGCGATGAAAGCTACAGGCATAGGTTGGTGGTGATGAAAGCTACAGGCATAGGTTGGTGGCGATGAAAGCTACAGGCATAGGTTGGTGGCGATGAAAGCTACAGGCATAGGTTGGTGGTGGTGATGAAAGCTACAGGAACGGGTTGTGATGAAAGCTACATGCATGGGTTGGTGGCGATGAAAGCTACAGATATAGGTTGGTGGTTATCACAAAGCTAACATCAGTATTAAATCATCATGCTCAGAGAATTAGGGCATGTATTTTAAACTAAGCTTTTAAAACCAAGTAGGATCTTAAACTTGTTGGCAATGCCACATGCATGATCACAGCAACATCAACAGCATCAGTTGTTGGCAAGTTTTGTTTGATGGCATTAGGGAGGACTTCCTGTTAAGTCAGTCCTCCATGGAGATCACATAAAAATATTGCCCCCAAACAGTCACTGATACTTATCTTATTCCCAGTTATTCAGCTCTTGTAATGGCGGTAAAACACTTACAGGATTCTCTTGTGCTGGAATCTTTAGCCATGCTGGCGCAAAATCATTCTTTGGAGCGTTGTGGGCGCCATCACTGGGAACTGACCATCTTGACAGTCTGAAACCAATAAGACTGGGATATGTACAAGCCATTACATAAGTGTGTACATGTCATCAAAAAACAGATGAAAGATTTATCTAGGCCACAATATCTTGCAATACTGATTTCAGGACATTATATCTCTATGTCGCTTATAGTACACAAGAACAATCTTCCACATGCATGGTTTCTAAAATGAAGGAATCTCAAATGAGTACATCAACTTAGATCAGTATGATATTAACATGTTTCCTTCATGGAATATATAACTGAGTGGGACATCCAAGCAAGCTCCAACACAACATAAAGACCTTCATTAACTCACACGTCATAACACAGGGAATGAAGTATCACTAAACTTTGTTCCAGTATCTTACATACAAAACTGGTTGTAATTATGGTCTCGTCATTTTTAAACAATCTTTAAGATTGACCAAACTTTCTAAAAGCACATCAAACAGTAAACAATACAGCAGTATCAAGCGTCTCAGAAATAGAGTTGAAATTGAAACATGGATAAATCTTGCAATGAAATCATTGAACGCAGATATGGCCCTTCAGATCTCTATAGGTCAAATTGAGTTTAGTATTATGCCGCTTTTAGCAATATTTCAGCAATATCATGCGGGGCACACCAGAAATGGGCTTCCACATGTGGGGAATTAAACCCTTGGCATTGATTGTACATTCAGATCCTTACTTCAACATTATACATAACAAGGCCCGAAAAACAAATGATATGGTCCTGATAACATCCATGGCAAATATAGGCTGGATTTTTTCAGGATACTTTCCTTTTATGCAGTTCATTGCATTTTAAATATGCTGTTTTCTCAATTAATTATAATGGGAAACATCAGAGATGAATGAAAGTCTGTGTAGATATGAACTTAAACTAAATAGATAATGATATAATTTGTTAATGCTTCATCCAACATATCACTTCTCAGTAACAATATTGCAATACGAATTATTTGAAAATGTATTGCAGATACCAGTAATAGCAGTCCTAGTAAACACTCCCAAACAGACATGTTTTCTTATTTTTCTAGTAATCACACAATAGAAGAAGCATTTAATGCAGGAAATTTAAACCAATAAAACTACTACCATTCACTTTAAGTAAAAGATGCTACCTGCATTGGATGCACCATGACAATAACAGTTACCTTCAATATTTTACCTGTACTGGTGCAGCCTTGATATAGCTAAACTGATCCCTGATGATACAAGATGTATCCTGCTACTACAGGTGCAATACAATTCGTATCACAATACACTACCCATATTCCGTAAATTCACAAAATGTTTTCTTGTAGCAAGTGAACCCTCAATGATGGAAATTAGCACCAGCCCTAGTCCTTTCTAAACAGTCCATTAGTTAAAAGGACCAATAGAAATATGTCACTAGTAATTATCTATCTCCATACAGTTATATTGTATGTTTCTGAAGATCCACACACTCACTGCTCCAGGCGATATCTCCAGCAGCAGTGTTCAAAAACACAATGTTTGTGTGTTAGTTTTCATTAACCGACAAATAAAGACATCCCACTCTTTAGTTGATACATCACCTCCCATGTGTCTTGAAAAAATATTTTCACTTATTCCATTTTATATAAATGCTTTCAGCATGATCAACTACTGAACCAGTAACTAGTAACAAAGGAAAGAATAACAAACTCCAAAGCCTCGGTCAGGCAAGAAAAGTGTGCATATTTGGAGCGATAACAATTAACTATTAAAAACTTCATAAAACCTTTATGTTGATTGTATGGAAACAATTTTTTTTAGATATTTTCCCGACCATCTCTTCATGATATTAGTTCAATTATATGTGAGGTATCATAGGCATGTTTATCTTTGCATGACAAAAATAACATTTTCATAGTATGTCAAGTGTATATTTAAACAGAATGACAACTGATTATTCCTATCAAACAAAAGGGGTACATCGGGCATAGAGAATACTTTAATATATTATGACGTCCTAAACTGTCAACAGAGTGAAGGGAAGCACAGTTTGACTAACTTGTTTCACAATAAAACTTTCCGTGTACTTTTATAAGCTGGACTTCTTGTATACTCAACCAACACACCAGACAAAGGTCTCCTCCTCACCTTACATTATGCTGATTTCAGAAAACAATATATCCCAAATAATTATCTGTTAAAATATCCTACAACTGCCTTTGTTTCCATTCTATCCTCCAAAAATGAAAATGTAATATATAATCTAGCACTTTACGTAAAAGATGAATCCTTAGAAACAATCTCTTATCTGAGCTGTAAATTGTTTTGTGAAATGTCTGTAACATGTGCTGTATGTATGCTTGTATTACTTCTATATGGGCCGGAGGACTTAAGTACAATAAACATCTTTGACTTGACATAAATGTGCAACTGTGGAGAAAGACAAGACTATAGCTGCTGTCACAGCTGTCTGCAACACCAGACAGGCAGGTCTGAAACCTGAGTCAGTAACATCTACAGTGGTGGGAAGAATTGGTAGAAATATCACCCGTGATTATTGGTGAGAAAAAGAACTGGATTAGCAACTGATCGAGAATGAGAACAGGTATTTGGCTCAAATTTCAGTCTGACGTTTTTCCCAGTGTCATCACAGCACGAGTCAGCGAGTTTAGTTTTTCACCGCTTTTAGCAATATTCCAGCAATATCACTGCAGGGGACACAAAATGGGCTTCACATACTGTACCAATGTGAGGAATCAAACCAGGGTCTTCGGCATGAGCAAACGCTTTAACCACTAGGCTACCCCACTGCCCCTCATCACACTGTGTAGACCTCAAGTAGCTCAGTGAGTGAGTAGACCTCAAATAGTGCTGGTTCATTTGATTGTTTACCTCTTGGGCCACACTCAATGCATGGGCATGTGCTGATATACCACAAATCAGGCAAGTTTGGGATTCAAACCCAAGACCATAGGACTACAGCAAACTTAAGAGATGGAACCTGACAGAAAATTAGAAATTGAGGAACCAAGCAAATACTTTTTACTATGCCATGCATGTTCTGCTACACACACCTTTACCCAGAAAAACACTGCAATAACAAAAACATGTTGAATCATGAGGCTCAGGAGCCAAGCAATATCATACCCAAAATGGAGAAGTCAGTGTGATTTTACACTTTCATAATCTTAGCAATATCCCAGCAAAAAATAGACATCGTACATATGTTATACCTCTGGTGTATTGAATCCATTTTTCCACTTAAGTCACTACTTTAACCATACGATTAACCAAAACTAATTAAACTAGAAAATTACCAATAACAGATTTCATGAGCAAGGATTTCTTGGCAAGAAACTAGTACTGATTGTCACATGACTACTGACTAGTAACCTTAATTACAAAAACTTAAAAACAGGCTACACATATTAACACCGATATCTACCGAAACTAAAGACAAATATGCACGACCAAAATCCATTTTTTTTTTACAGCAACTGCGTCAAAGTCTACTGGAGTATAGTGTAAACAGCTGGTCTCCCACCACGCTCAGCTGATCTCATTCTTGGGGGCCACAGAAGCATAGCCACATTACTGTCACATTAACTCAACCGTCACGGTCCAATACTTTCTCAATTTATTATGTATTTATCTTGTGAGAACATCCTGTTGTACAGCCCTGTTTGTCTCTCATGGGCAGCCTCTGTACAGTTTTACAGGAAGAAGCCCTGTTCTAAAAAGCCTTCTTTGTCACAAAAATAGAAGGTCACTTTTTGCATTAAAAATGTCTTCAATAACAGATGAAGCAATGTTGAAAAAATTAAGAAACTAAGTGAGGAAGATGTCAGTGCTATATTGTTGCCAGTGATAGAATGTCACTTTTTGCATTAAAAATGTGTTCAAAAAGATCAGAAGCAATTAATACACAATGCCTGAAGCAATGTTGAAAAGATGAAAAAACTAAGTGACGAAGATGCTAATGCTATATTGCTGGCAGTGTTTGCAACTGAAGGAAATATGTTTCCTAAAGACTGCTTCTATAGTATCTTATCATCGGATCACATCAGTTTTTCATTTCAAATATTAGGGCAATAAAAAGGACTTCCTCGACTTTGAGTAAGGTTTTACGCCACTTTTAGCAATATTCCAGCAATATCATGGCGGGGGACACCAGAAATGGGCTTCACACATTGTACCCTCCTTGACTTTGAACACTGATTAGCAAACTGATCAATGAAGGGTAAGAAAGTTGTTGTTATTTTCACCAGTCAATAGGTTCACCAAAATAAAGTCTCAAATGCCATTTAAAAGTGATACACTGACTGACTGACTGAGTTTGGTTTTACTTTTAGCAATATTCCAGCCATCACGGGCGGGGAACACCAGAAATTTCAAAACCCATGTGGATTCAACATAACCACTAGGCTACCCCACCGCCCCAAATGCCATTTAAAAGTGATACACATAAAGAGTGAAAATATATGGATGTCAACTACTGTAATATGAAGGACACAATGTTTCACTTTCGGAGTATATTCTTAGTCTTTCCCCAGATGATGAAGCAGTAAGAATATATGTCCCCCATACTTCAGACATGGACATCTATAAATTTTCACCTTTCACCAAAAATAACTGCCATCTACCTAAAGCCAACATTAGTAACAGTGGCGGTCCACAAGGAAATGCACAAAAATCAAATTTTTAACTCTGCCATGTTTAGACAATAGCCAAGGCCAGACCAATTGTATTTCTTGTTTCACGGATCCGCCAGTCGTATTTTTTCAAGAATAAGCACAAAAAATTGATTAAGTTTCCCCGCTGAAAAAATAAAATCCTCATGTTTTTATTGGGCCAAAAATGTAAACTTACAACAACAAAAATGTTTGGATTGTTTTTTGCCCATAAAAACTTCATAATTGCCAAAATAAAATAGCTCTACTGTTAGTATTTAAAAGAAAATTATTTTGACTTGTGATTTTTATTTTTAATTTTTTTCCCTCCTGCCTTTAGGTTTTCTTAGGACAAAAATCCATAAAACACGAAAT